GTGTCAGTATGGAGTTGGCTTTTCAGACTTTCGGCACTTTAACTCTCGGATTGGCTCCTCGCGAGAGTTTCCAAGGGGTTGTGGTCTGCCAGATTAGCCGCGAAGGCATATGCTTCAGTCTCTGCCCGATGCGCCAGATTCGACCTTTGGCCTCCTGGCAAAGGCCGAAACCCCTTCAATCCCTTTTTTGACAGCTTGTCCATCAAAAATCTACCGGCGATGCTTTCTTTCAGGCCACCATGGCCCGAGCCGGACCCAGTTCTCGGCCTGCTGGCTTCAGGCCGACACGAAAAGACGCCGTGGGTGCTCCCCTTTTCCACGCCTCATATCGTCTCCTGCCTCCGGTATCCTGTTCGTCGAATGTACCCGAATCGGACGTTGTCTGCACCCTCCGCTCCACAGGATAAATGGGAAATTTAGTCGACTGGCGCGACAAATGTCAGTTTATCACAACCAGGCTTCTGTATGCTGCTCGGCCTGTCCATCGGTGGCCAGCACGGGGCAACAGTTTTCCGGCAACGCGCCAAGTCATTCCTTGCAGCTGCTTTGAGTTCCTTCTTGAGGGCATCACGAGTCTTTTGGATGCTGTCGACCAATCGGGAGAGGCAGACGAAGTTGGCTGGGATATCGTCAAAAGACGACACAGCCTAGCAACGTGGCAATCGGAGGATGCTCGGCGCTCCTCCTCGTCGTGACACTCTGTCCCGTTGGAGCAGCTGACGTAAACCTCGATGAGGTTGTCGCTGAAGTACCACCAACTCGTAGATAGCTTCGGTCATTTATTGGCCTTCTCCTCAAATCATCAAAACGAAACTGGCTCTTGAATAGCTCTTGAATATGTGATTGTCAATTTCTTCTACAATGAGATGTTTTCACCCTATTTCGTTTAAGGTGATGAAGAACTGGTAGTAGAATTTTCCCACAATGATATTAGTAGAGCTGACCTTTTCACTGAATTTCACACAGCCTTGCTCCCCCAAAAGTAGTTCTCATCCAGGCACCAGTGGACTGGAGTTTCGTCCTCGCATAGCTCTTATCAACACCCCCAGCAGGAGTCAAACCTTGACAGTTCAGCATTGCCACGAGTGTTCTTGGGTGGCAGGGCAGATGCCAATTTCAAGGAAGGCCAAGCCTCTTCTCGTATCACATTTCTTGAATTAAACGTATTTTTGCTATAACAAACGACTATATTACTTATGGAGGTTGTTTGACCTTGTTTTCACAACATGGTCATATTGGTAGGAAGGCTTAGAGGAAAGCCTTCATCACCTTAGACGAAATAAGGTGAATACATCCCATTACACTGATTTATTGGTAGTTTCGAAACCCTACTCTAATACGAAAATAAGTAACGTAGTCCATTGCTATAGCAAATATACGTTAGCTTTATCGACACTCCCACCAAAAGAATATGATATAGCAGAGGCCTGACCTTCCTTGAAACTCACTTATGCCCTG